AATTATTTTAAACCAATATATTTTAAGTATTTCAAGAACAATCGATTGACAAAGAATATACAATAGATAAATGAATACAAAAAAAACGCAAAAATATTGATTATTCTAACCAATAAGTAAGTTTTAATATTTGAACCTAACGTACTGTGATTTTGTGCATAAGTATTAATTTTTCTTTCGCGCTCCTCAAAGATGGTTTTTTTCTCTTCCATTTTATCAATGCAATATTAATAGGACTGTTAAAAAGCTTGCAGAACCCGGTCCTTGAGTCGACTTCACTCGAACAAAGCCCAAGTGTAGGAAGTGCTGTTCCTGTATGTCGATTTTGTTCTAATTATGTGATTAAAGAATTGGGAAGATATCTGGAACTGTTTAGTGAATTGCGTATTATTATGGGCACAAACTTAACTTGAGGGCCAGATCTTAACCAAGTCTCTTTTTGTGGATCGGACTTTTAACAACCCTAAGTATTCAAGATTTTTTTTTTTTTTTACAGTGTGCTAATTTCTTGATAATTTTTCAACAGGCTCATTTATGCTACAATCGTTGACCTATATGTTCTTCAAGGATTGTTCTCTTGGAGAATCGTTTGCTTTTTACCATTGCCAAAAAAAAAAAGGATTATAAATAGTCATGAAGGATGTGCCATCTCCGTCTCCGCAAAAGTAACTAGAGAGTTTCCATGCACTTGCTTTTTTTTTTTTTTTGCATTCAGATGCTTGCAAAGAAAGTTGCGATTATGTAAGTATTCTGGACAAGTGCATATCCAACCAACTACATCGATATAATATCCTGAATTCAAGACATTCAATACTTAAACTGGTACGTTTCTTGTGCACAATCAACATCCACGTATTTGTGTAGAGCTCCAGAAGGTATTTTTCACATGTTACCTGCAATTTTTTGATATTATTATTCGTTTTTTTAAGTCACAAAATTTTCTTGATTTTCTGGGACTTTGATGTTTTCAAAGAGGTGTGAACGGCCACAGATCACCAAATTTTCGGATTCCCTGAGTTTTCAAGGCACGAATTTCTAGATCCTTGATTTCCTATACAGGTATATTTGGAATACACCTATTTACCCTGCAGATTCGGTGTTATGCTTACTAATTGATCAGTCAGGATGTTCGATTATATAATATAGTAGCTTGTTGTTTTGTCGGGCTTGACCTGGAACAACCAAAATATCACAATTTAACTGGCCAATCATCAAAAACATTACGTAAGCTGTTGAGTAATGGACGTACGATAGGGTTGTTAAATGGTGCAGTATACTCCGGTTTAACATTGGGTCGCTTCATATTTTTTAATTTTACTTCGCTCCGGACCTAAGACAAGTACAGACATAACCCGAATAAATGTGCAGGTAAATCACGTATATATCGATATGACGTATGCATATAGGCACCGACGTAGTAATTATCCCAGTCGAATTAATTGTATGAGACTTTTTGTAAATGTACCAGAAAATATGAAACAGGCTATAAGGTCAAAAACTATAGGTTGTAGTATCTCAAAACCTCCCCATATATTCAACATTAACAATTATGTTTTATAAGTAAAATTT